TAGTTTTTAATATTCACTTAAATGAATAGACAAGGAAAATTAACCCTTCGATTACATCTCTTACAAAATTCAATGTGCGCTATTTTATAATAAAGTTAATTATTATGTTAAGTTTCGTAAATTTAGATAAATAGTAAAATTACAAAATTTCGCAGAAGAAATACACGATGGCCAAAACATGCAATGTATTACCTTCACAATGTCTTGTTGTATATCATTTGTACTGTAGATAGGTTCGTAATTCCTGGTATATGAATCATCCAGCACATCATCCACATGAAAATTAGAAGAATTCCATGACCAAGAATCATATAAACTACCATTAGCATTTGAGCTCTCAATTTTCCCTACAAATGACCGGTTAGAAAATTAAATAATTGACAATTGTAAAGTGTTATCAACATGGTGTTCAACATTTAAGAAAAATAATGATTTTGTCGACAACAATTCAACGTTAATCTTACATGTTTCGACGAAGTCCGTTACATTATTATGATGATAGAGGGCGCCATTCAACCCCACAAAATCATTGTTCGGATCATCATCCATGAAGCCACAGAGACCCTCCGTTTTTTCGACAAAGCTCATGGTCGGTGTGAGCAATGTGTTAAGGTATAGTCTTCCTATCTTCTCACTAAATTGCACTTCGATTCCAACAGACAAGCCTAATTTGCATTTTGAAAAACCCATTTTGTAAATATTGAATATTGAACATAATTATGACATTGCCAAAATTACATTAAAAATAAAACTTACAAAATTACACTTTAAAAATTACATTTAACAATTTTTTTTTTTTACAAATTACAATTGTTTTTCTTTTGTGTAGGCCTATCCTTCTGTATTAACTACTTTCACATTATCATATTAAAATACTGACATAAAATGTGGCTATTAGCAAACATTTGTTAATTAGACCATAACAAATCAGTTGAAACATGTTTTATCAAACCACTGAGCTTTACAATTATTGGTATAGTTCTAAAATCACACTAACTGCAGTCACGTAAGGAATGTATGTAACATTTCTTTTTTATAATTATTTGAATGGTTAATGTCTTCATGTGTCCGATATTTACTGTGTATCAAACATTACCCAATTTTCCAGGTTTCAAACTTTCTAAGAATTATCAGAACATAGGTTATTATGTATTACCTGATTTGTACTCAAATGCCAGCATCATAGTAGGACTAGTTGAAGAACTGTCATTTCTCAGTGGTATTTGGACATCAAGGAGTACTGACGAATTTGCTAACTGGAGTTTCATCTCGCTACTTATATTCAGTATTTCTCCATCCAGCCTAATTTTAAGTTGGAAATGGAAAGTGTGTAATGACTGTGATAATAATTACAGATTTAAGACAAGTAGGGTCTATGCCGCCACACACATAACTAGGATTATAAATATTTAATGTATTTAGTTATTTTTGTGCTGCCAAGGTAAAACAGAGATTAATTTTTTACCTTTAACACACCACAATTTGATGTGTGGTTAGACAATGATTAGGAGGTAAGAAAAAGGAGATCACTAACAAATAGTCAATTATTACAGTAAATACCACAATTGAGAATAATCTACCCTGATAAATTAAAATATCATTAAGAGGGGAGCTAACAAGTGATAGCAAAAATGTAAATCAGTGAAGTGACTAAATTAAGTTGGGATTGGGAAGTGATAATTTAAGGGATTAATATGAACTTAAATATTAAGTGAACCGGTGTACAGTACTTGTGAATTTGGTAAATTAATATGTGAAATACCAACAATTTCAGATAACTGGTGGAGGTCCTGATTTGCGAGAAGTGCATGCGCACATACTCTTAGAACTGCTTCCATTCCAGGGTTAAATTGGCTATTCTGACGCCACTACATGGTTGTCACAATAGCAAATTTAAGCGTTGGAGGGTATGCTCTGACTTCCATTGACTCACTGAATACATGATTGGTTGATATTGAAACCAGCCATGCAGGAATTCTAAGCAGCTGAGAGTACAATGCGATAGGCCCGAATGTGACTTATCCTAAATAAAAAAGTAGGCCAAACATTGAAGAATTTTACTTTATTCCAATAAACTACAGCAATCCACTCAAAAAATTAAGGTTTATATAGAAGATTGTGGCTAAGAAATTCTAAATCAAACGCAGAAACTGTACTACTATATTTTCTTATTTGTTTTAGCCAGGGTATGCAC